AAAAAAAAAAAAAAAAAAAAAAACTGCCCCCCTTGTCCTTTAAACTCAGCTTTCCTGGCTGCCTGCCCTGTCCCGAAGCCAGGCTGGAATGTTCCAGAACTCCTGCCACTCACGCCATCACCTTTAGGGTTTTCGTGGGTGCTATATCTACTTGCTGTTTATCTCTGCCTTGCTGCCTATTGCTCGCCCCGATAAACCTGTTTCAGAAGAAAATTTGGTGCCGCTCCGATCAGCAGATAACAAGGATGACACAGAGGCACCACGCCCCAGGCCGGCTGAAGCACACACCGTTCAACCCCCACACTGCCACCGACAGACAGTGTGGCCACGGGCGGGCTGCCTAAACTTCCCGCGTGCCAAGGTCCGCGTCTGTGAAGCAGGATGATAATAACAGCACCCTGCTCGGAGGGCCCTTGGGAGAATTAAACCAGTCACGTTCGTCAAGCAGCTAGAACAGTGCCTGCACACCATAAATGTCACCCGAGCATTTCTTGAGCCATCAAACTAAGTGCCTAGGTCTCGTAGGAGCTGGAGACTCGTCTGTCTTTGTGTGAAAGTAGGGATGAGGGAGCCCCGGAAAAGGGTTTCCGATGCACCAGCACCGAGTCACCAAACAGAGGTTCTCGCTCTGCCCCTTCAGAGCGAGTAGCTGCCCTGCCCTCCGCTCTGTCCTCCGTAACTGAGGAGCGGACGAGGGTGCGGCTCTCCCACCGCCGGATCCAGGGATGGTTAACACCCGCGCAGGTGGGCTGCTCACTTCCGGGAAGCAGCAGCCTGGGACGGCAAGGGCTTGTCCATGACTCCCTCCTCACACTCCCCCAGCCCACGGGGGCCCCCTGCAGCCCGGAATCCAGCCCCAGATGGCTCACCCCACTCAGGCTGGCCCGGAGGGCGGCAGCAGCAACTCCTCCCCTCAGGCAGACCAGACCCCAGATGTGTCCCCTGCAGGGAGGACAGAAGGGGACCTGAGGGCCTCTTGCTGCGCGAGCCCTGAGCCCTCTGCCTCTACAGGCTTCTACAGATGGACCAGCGGAGGGCACTGACCTGCAGTCTGCTGGATCCCAGCTGCGTGTCCTTGGCAAGTTACCTACCTCCCCTGATTCTCTGTTTGCTCATTGAAAAAAAATATGAGGGTCACCGGTCGTTGCTGTAGGCTTGCTCTGAACACTAACTGCGTCCCCCAGTGGGAAGCCCCGGTGTTTATCCACCGGCAACAGCAATAAGGGGTGATCTCCGGGGCCGCAGTGATTGAAACTAAAAGTTGGCCATACCTCAGGAGACTGGGGGCCGTGGAAAAGCTTGGGGTTGGGAAGTCAGACCATGCTAACAAGGGAGCACTAAGTGCTTATCTTCACAGTGAAGAGAGGCATGCAAATCAAAACCACAGTGACAGACCTTTTAAATGTTATCAGATTGGCAAAAATAGCAGCCTGCCTGTCTCACGTGGAGCTGAGGGTGTGCTCTAATGGGGGGGGGGGCTCGAGTTCACAGCCAGTGAAATGTAAATTAATACAAGCGGCCCGGAAAATGGTTTGGCGTGATCTAATAGATGCAAATAAGTGCCTTCCCGGAGACCTGGCAACGTCACTCCCACACACACTGCTAAAGAAACTCTCCACGTGGGTACCAGAAGTGTACGCAGAGGTGTTTACAGCGGCACTGCCTTCAGTAGAGGAAAATTGGAAACAAACTACGTATCCATCATCAGGAGAACGGAAAACATAAATCGTGATGTAATGGCTCCGGGTGAACATGAATCATTCACGGCCGCACACAACAAAGTGAATGACTGTCACAAAGACAGAGGGGAGTGAAAAAACCCAGCAAGGTGGAGCGGAGCGTGTGCATAACAGCACCACGCACGTCGCAGCTAAAGCCACAGAGGGCAAGTCTGGGTATCGTTCAAGCGAATGTGCGTATGTCATAAAAGCACAAATAAATTCGTGGAGGTGGTAAACACCACATTTTGAGCCCTATAGGAAAAAAGGGGGGTGTAAGCAGGGAGGGTGTCCAGAGATCTTAACAATTTGGTGACATCACGGGTGTTAATTTATTGTTATTATTATTTTGAGACAGGGTTACTAAGTCACCCAGGCTGGGCTCCAACTTGTGATCCTCCTGCCTCAGCTTCCCAGAGTGTGGGGATTATAGGCGTGCACCACCATCCCTGGCTATAATTAAATTATGATATATGTCTCTTTAGATGATCAAGTTACCTCATAACATTTTAAATACGAGTTTTGTAAAAAGCACGTGGAGAGGAAGCTTCCGCTCTTGGAATATCTGGTATCAGACTTGCCCTCCCCCTGAGAAGCACTACTGAGTAGGAAACAGAAACGGCACCAGGCAGAAACCAACCTATCCAGTCCCTGGAAGAAGGGACATCGCTGGGATGGCAAGGGCTTGCAATGCAATTTCTCCTCCGGTCCTTTGTCCAGTCACTGAGAATGAGGGACAGGCCAAGGACTGGGCTGAAAAACAGAGGAGATTTCGGGGGTTTCACAAGGGAAGAATTGGTAAGAAACATGGGCTTAGTAAGTATCCAGTCACTCAGAAAATCTGTGCCTTGGGAATAAAGGGAAGGCTGGGAATAGTTTAGATTTGACTTTATCGAGGAAGTCTGCTTATATGTTACATGTCCTTTAGGAGAAAATTAATATCTATCTGGAAATAAATAGCTTCTAAAGCTTCTATATTTTTCAGACACAATGTCCAGCATTCAATTTTTTTTTTTTTTCTTTTTGAAGCAGGGTCTCGCTATGCAGTTCAAGCTGGCCTTGAGCTCGCTATGTAGCTCAGGCTGGCCTTGAACTCACAAGGATCCTCCTGCCTCAGCCTCCTGAGTGCTGGGATTACAGACGTGTGCCACCACGCCCAGCCCAGCATTCAATTAAAATTATAAGGCAAATTAGGAAACTGTATCAAATAATGAACAGCCAAGAAAAGAAAAGAAAAAAAACAATAGAAATAAACACATAGATGATTCAGAAAATGACATTAGCAAACATGTTTTAAAATAACTCTTCTTGGTATGCACAAGCATTCTACTAGAAATATGGAATCTATTTAAAAACTAGAAATCCCAGGACAGAAAACCACACCAGCTGAAATATATAAGAACTGAAGAGATGGATTTAGCAACATATTTGAAAAATCAGAGAGAGGATTCATGAGCTGGAGTACTGGGCAACAGAGAATACTCAGATTGAGGCAGAAGAAGATCTTCCAAGGTGCACAGAAGAGCAAAAGAGAGAAGTGAGACACTGTGGAAAGGTACAGTACATAGTTAGAGTTACGGTAAACATTTAGAATTAGGAAAGAGAAGAGAGGCTGGGTGTGATGGCGCACGCCTGTAATCCCAGCACTCAGGAGGCTGAGGCAGGAGAATTGCTGCTAGTTCAAGACCAGCCTGAGCTACAAAGTGAGCTCAAGGCCAGCCTGAACTGCATAGCCAGACCCTGTCTCAAAAAGACCAAAAAGAAAAAGAAAAGAAAGAGGAAAAAAGTCAGGGGTAGTAGTGAAGATACTGGTTAGACATTTTTCTAAACTAATAAAAGACATTAAGCCACAGATTCAAAAAGCTTTACAAACGAGACATGGTGGCATGTTCCTGTAATTGCAGCATTCTAGGAGGCTGAGGCAAGAGGATTGCAAGTTTCAGCCCAGCCTGGGCAACTTAGGGAAGCCCTGTCTCAACATTTTAAAAAGGGCTGAAAATGTAGCTCATTGTGCTACGGAAGCGAGTACTAGAAAAGTTATTTAGACCCTGAAATTATTTGTTTCTTATTTGTGTATGTGTGTGTGTGTGTGTGTGTGTGTGTGTTTGTGGTGCATATGTATGTGTGTGTTTGTGGTGCGTATGAAGGATGGAACCCAGGACCTCACGAAAAGCTGAAATTTTAAAAAGCCAACTCAGAATTTTATATACAGCAAAAATAGCCTTTAAAAGTGAAGACAAAAAATAAAAATAAACGAAAAAGAAAAATGAAGGCGAGATCACTTTGATAAAGGAATCTATGAAATTCCACAGTTAACATCATAACTAATGGTGAAAAACTGAAAGGTTTATCTCTGAGATCAAGAGCAAGACAAGGATTCATCCTCGTGATGTCTATGAAATACTTTAGTACAGGTTCTAGCCAATACAAATAGGAAAAAGACACCCGGGGGTGGTGGTGCACACCTGTAATCCCAGCACTCAAGAGGCTGAAGCAGGAGAATTGCTGCTAGTTCAAGACCAGCCTGGGCTACAAAGTGAGCTCGAGGCCAACCTGAACTGCATAGCGGTTCAGGTGTCAAAAAGACTAAAAAAAAAAAAAAAAGAAAGAAAAAAAATGCAAAAGAAAGAAAGAGAGTTACCTAGATTGAAAAGGAAGAAATAAACTATTTCTATTTTTAGATATCATTTTGTAGATACAAAATCTAAGGAATACACACCAAAACAAACCAACAAAAAACTATTCGAGGACTGAAGATTTAGCTCAGTGACACAGTGCCTGCCTGGCAAGTGCAAGGTCCTGAGTTCGATTTCCGGTACTGGAAAAAAACTATTTGAATTAATAAATGAATACAGGGGCTAGGGATTTTGCTCAGTGGCACAGCGCCTGCCTGGCAAGCGTGAGGTCATGAGTTCGATTCCCAGTACTGGAAAAAAAATAGAAATAATAAATAAAGAAATAAATAAATGAATACAGAAAGCTGTATGACACAAGGTCAATATTTAAAAATCAATTATATTTTATACACTACCAATAAGCAGTCTGATGAAATTAAGAAAGTTACTTTATCTAAGTAACACCAAAATGAATATAATAGAAAGAAATTTTAACCATTATCAGTTGTGTTACTGCAAGACTAGTTTATTAGACTATTAGTGCACTGAAAATTATAAACATTGGTGAAACAAATAATAAAGGAGCTAAATGGATGGAGGCTATACACTGATGTGTTCATGGATTGAAAGACTTAATATTATTAAAATGACTACGAGATCAGTGGTGGTAAAACGTTTAGAGCTTTCAGTGACAGTGGACAGCCTGCTGAGGTATGCGTGTCACAGGTTCACCACTGGCCCTAGATTGATTAACAGAAATCCCTAGAAAAATCCCAGCTGGATTTTTTGGGGGTGTTAATCCTAAAGTTCACAGGGAAATCTAAGGAACTATTATTAGTCAAAACAATCTTGAGAAAGAAATCAGTGGGCAAATTTGCACTTCCCAATTCCAAAGCCTACTGCAAAGCGACACTAAGCAGCAGAAGGTGGTCCTGATATACAGATATACATATAGATCAAGGGAGTCTAATTGAGAGTCCAGAAATAAGTCCATATGCTTATGTTCAATTGATTTTTGACAAGGGTGCAAGATAATTCGGAGGGGGGAAAAGAAGAGTCTTTAAAGCAAAAGGTACTGGTGAAACTGGATATTCACATCCGCTGTAATGAAGTAAGACTCCTACTTCACTTCACGTACAAAAATTAACCCAAACCAGATGTGGTGGTGCACGCCTATAATCCCAGCACTCAGGAGGCTGAGGCCGGAGGATCGTTGGGAGTTCAAGACCAGCCTGGGCTACAAAGTGAGCTCAAGGCCAGCCTGCACTGCGTAGCGAGACCCTGTCTCAAAGAAAAAAAAAAAAAAAATTTACTCAAAACAGACCAAAGAGCGAGATACAAAAGGTCCAACTGTTAAAGTCTTAAAATAAACATAGATGTAAATCTTAATGACCTTATGTGAGGCAATAGTTTCTTAAATATAATAACCCAAAGCAAAAGGAAGTACAAAAAAAGTGGGTATATTGGGCTATATAAAAATGTAAAATATTTGTGCTTGAAAGGACACTAATAAGAAGGTGAAAAGACAGCTGCAGAATGGGAAGACGTGCTTGCAAATAATGTATGTGCTAAGGGACTAGTACTGATCATATGTAAAGAGCTCTTGGGACTCAAGAGCTAAATGACACAGAAGTCAAATTAAAATGGACAGAAATTTGACATAGATATTTCATCAAGGAAGGTCTAAAAGTGACAAACATAAGAAAGAAGCTCAGCATCGCTAGTCATCAGGAAACTTCACATAAAGACACCACGAGCTACCACTTCCTACCTAGGATGGTAATAACAACCACAATAACAACAATAGCAAGTGTGGGTGAGGAAGTGGAGAGATTTAAACAGTTTTACATTGCGAGCGAGCCTCTAAAACGATTTAGCCACCGTTGGAAAACAGTTTCTCAATGTTACCATACGACAAAGCCATTCCACTCCCAGGTATATAGCAAAAAAGAACTGAGTTCTTCTACTGTCATGTAAAATAGCAACAACCAAAAAAATTTGTATACAGTTGATCTTAGCAACATTATTTATAATAGTCAAAATATGGAAGCAACTTAAATTACTATCCGCTGCTGAGCAGATAAACAAAATGGAGGGCATCCATATGATGATATTATAAAGCTGTAAATGAGAATGACCTACCAATATGTGCTACAACATGAGTGAACTTTGAAAATTTATGCTACAGACGTCCAGCACCAAAGGCCAAACACTGTATAATTCAATTTATATGAAGTGTCCAGAATAGGAAATCCTTAGACACAGAAGAGAGATTGTCAAAAGCTGAGATTATAGCCGGGCATGGTGGTGCATGCTTGTAACCCCAGAACTTGGGAGGCTGAGGCAGGAGGATCGCTGCACGTTTGAGGCCAGCCTGGGCTACATAGGGAGACCCTGTCTCAAAAAGACAATAAATAAATAAATAAATAATAATAAATTAGTACTTTCACCACTTCGTGGCTGATACTTCAGTCTTTGACTTCGTTCACCTCGTCCTTCATTTGGGGTATCACGGTCGTACATTTTAATTCTCCATGTAGTTTAAACTCTATGAGACATTATCTTGGCATTTTAAGCAGTCAATATTGATCTACGCTTATTCTCTGTTGAGCTTTGTTCTTTCTGCAGTTCTGCTGCTTATCTGAAATTGTTTTTCTTTGGCCTTAAAAAATTACTTTAGTATCTCTTTAGGTGCAGATCTACCTGTGACAAATTCTCTGTTTTTGTGGGGTTTTGAAAGTCTAAATGAACAGCTTTTAACCTTCATTTTCAAAAATGTACAATTAAGGTATATTTCATGTGCTTTAAATATCACTTTTTAGGTGTACAACTCAATAGATTTCACTACAGCATATTCACGAGGTTGTGTAAACCTCGTGATTACAGGGAAAGTGCTGCGATTACAGGGAAAGTACCAATTTAAGATGGAACTTTTTAAAAATCAAGTGTGCATGTTGTCCTAAGATGGGCACAAAAGGGTTTGTGAAAGAAAGCACAAGCCGGACGTGGTGGCGCACACCTGCAATTCCAGCATTTGGGAGGCTGAGGCAGGAGGATTGTTGTGAATTCAAGAGCAGCCTGGGCTACAAAGTGAGCTCAAGGCCAACCTGAACTGCAGAGTGAGACCCTGTCTCAAAA